TTTTTTTTTTTTTTTTGCTGGTTGTGGGGCCTGAACTCTGGGCCTAGGCGCTGTCCCTCAGCTCTTAGCTCAAGGCTAGCGCTCTTCCACTTGAGTCACACCATCATTTCTGGCTTTTTCTGCTTATGTGGTGCTAAGGAATCGAACCCAGGGCCTCATGCAGGCAAGGCAAGCACTCTACCACTGAGCCACCTTCCCAGCCCCTAGAATTCTTTTCTTTTTCTCTTCTTTCGGGTCCAGCAGTTGTCTTCTTAAATAGCAGTTGTTACTGCTTTACAAAGACCTCACCAAAGCACTTAAATTTGTATGTCTGAATTAGTCATCCAGGACGTTATATTGCTATTTCCAGAGTGTTATGTTCAGTGGGAGGAAATTCTAACTTTTTAGGGATGTTCAACTAATGCTGGAGCGTGATAGCTTTGCTCTCCCTCCACAGCAGCCTTCCTCTTGTTAAGGATGCTCTTGTGTGTGTGCATTTAAGATGGTCTGACTTACTGCCAGTGAGTGACAGGAGGGTGGGAGGGAGTATCTTTGTTAAACTGGGTATAGTTGGTACTTAGTGTGATTCTGTGTGTATGTGTGCCCGCGTGCACACACGCGCATGTGTGTATAAATAGCAGTCTTACTAAAGTAATGTCATGTCAAATATTCTTAGTTGCAGTCACTTTTCTGCCTTGTGAATATGTGATGCTTGGAGGTTATGTCTACTCAGGCATGGTACTTCATGCCTGTAATCCCAGTACTCAGGAGATTGAGGGAGAAAGACTGTGAGTCTTAGGTGAGATTGAGCTACGTAAGCAACACCTTGTCTCAAAAAAATGCTAAAAATCGTTTTAAAATCTCCAGTCTAACCGGGTGCCAGTGGCTCATGCCTGTAATCTTAGCCACTCAGGAGGCTGAGAACTAAGGATCACAGTTCGAAGCCAACCTGGGCAGGAAAGGCCATGAGACTCTTATCTCTAATTAACCACAAAAAGGCTGTAACGGAGCTGTGGCCCAAGTGGTAGATGGCTAGCCCTGAACAACAACAACAACAACAAATCTCAAGGACAGCAAGCAGATCCTGAGTCTAAGCACTAAGATCAGTACCAGATTCTTAGATCTCAGCCTCCTGAATAGCTAGGATTAGAGGTGTAAGCCACCAACGCCTAGCATTTTTCCTCTTAGTTATTAAATATTTCATGGAGTTTGTGTAGTCTGGGGAGTCATAGTGCGTCCAAACCTTTGATAGCCTGTGATTTGTGAACGGATGATAAATTGGAGAACACACAGCTGTACCCCGATGAAGCACTCAGCGACCAATCCACCCTAGCACCCGGCCGTATCGGGTGCTCACTGCATTCTCCACTAGGGGGCGCGGCGCTTCCCGAGGCGGCCTCTGCGAGGCCCTCGCGCGAGGGCCTCTGGGAAATGTAGTGCGCGCGCGCGCGCGTCGCGGCCCAGCGGGAGAGAGCGTGTGTGCAAGAGCGACGCTCCGCGCGCGCAGGCGTACTTCTGACTCTGCCCCACCGCCGCGGCCATTGTCCAGCCCTGTTGCGGCGGAAGCCGGTTTGGGCAGATAGCCCTTCCACAGAAAAGGAGTGAGGAGCACCAAGACGACGGCAGGCACGGAAGGGGGCTGACCCGACGCCCTGGGTGGGCTGTAGGCGGTGATTCCGAGTGCGCGAGTGAGAGTGGCCCATCTCCCCGGTTTGAGGGGTGTCCGCCTGGCCTCACCCATCGTCCAACGGATGGGGCTGGGTGTGGTCCGAGGTGGCTGTGCGGTGGTAGGGAGCCTTTAATTTGGTGGAGGGGTGCGGCAGGCCTGGGCGGGGCCGGCGCTCCTTCCGGCTCTCTGGCGGGAGTAGCTGCGGGCCGGGGGTGGGACCACCGTGCTGGGGGCGGGGCCACCAGGGCCGGGGCGGGGCCACCAGGGCCGGGGGCGGGGCCACCAGGCTAGTAGCCAGGCTGGCAGCCGGGCTGGGTGGGGCCGGCGGTGCGGCCGGCGGTGCAGACGGTTGACTGCGCGGCTCTTCTCTCTCCGCGGCCTAGGTTTAGAGCTCCAGCGACGCAGAGATGGCCCCGAGGCCTCCGACAGCCGCGTCGAAGGTGAGCCGTGCGTTCCTAACCGCCCGGAGCATTCCGTCCACTGAGGTCCTCGTTTTGGGGACCGTCATCGTTCACCTACAGACCCCCAATCTTGGTTCTATTGCCCCCCTCCTAGCCTCCATGCAAACCCCCAGGGTCCTGAGCTAGACAGAGCTGGAATCCTTAACGCGGGTGGCACTGTGGGGAGCCAAGATGGGGGTCCAGGACACTGTGATCTTGGGAGAGGAATTAAGGTCGAGTGCGTTGGGGGATGCCTTAACGACTCTGCTAGTGCTTTGAACTCTTGTCAGAAAGGAATGGAGAAGGGCGGGTGAGGAGCAAAAACCTTAGAGGAACTGACGGTCGGTGAGGACAGGGGATCCGAGTTTCTGGTCAGGAGCCGTAGAGAGACTATAAGAGGTGAAAGAGCCAGCTCAGAATATGCCTAGAAAGTTTGGCAATGGGCTTTCTTGGGCTAGACCTCAAGCAGTTACAAGAACTTGCCTGAGCTTTACCTGTCTTCTGCTTTCACAAAGGTGTACGTGGCTGATTGATGAACCCATTTATATTTGTAGTTGGTGATAAGTGAAATTCTTTATGGCGTGCTGAGGTTTGGACTCAGAGCCTTGTGCTTGCTAGGTAGGCATTCTGTACTTAAGCCATGCCCCCAGCTCTCTGTTTTAGTTATTTTTCCAAATATAGTCCTGCTTTTTTCTCAGACTGTCATCTTCCTACTTATAGTCTCACTGGTCGTTGGAGGACAGGTGTGTACCACCAGGCACACTTATTGATTGAAATGTGTTAATGTATTCTAGTTGACTTTTTGCGTGAGCTGGCCCTGAATCTTGATCCTCCCAATTTCTGCCTCCCAAATAGTTGGGATAACAGGTGGGAGCCATCACACCTGGCCAGTGTTAGGGAAAAAGACGACAACAGCCCAGATCAACTTGAATTAAAGTAGAAGGAGATACCAGGGTTACCTGTGGAGAATCAGGAAACATGTGGTAGCTGGAAAGTTCTGGGAGTTTCGGGACTTGCCTTGAGAGTTTGTGGCAATGGCTTGAAATGCATCAAAATTGTTTCACAAAGGCTTGGTTCCAGGAACCTATTGTGCAGGTTAAAAGTTCAGCCAGGTGTGGCCTGCTTAAAGGAACTCAGGTGCCTTTTACCTGCAGGGTGGGGGTGGGAGAGTGGGTTTTCACATTTAGATTAAGATTTTTCTGGCTGGAGAATTTGTGAGTTGGGTGGGGGAAAGTCAGTGGGAAAAGCCTTGGGAGCAACACTGACTTGTGAGAACAAAGCAGACTCCCCTCAGCCAGCATTTGGGGTTTTAAACCCACAATGTCTTTAGAATTAAAGATCCATTACAGATTGTAGTTGTTAAGTGTATGAGGCAATAAACACCAGTCTAGATGAAAATACTAGCTGGTAGATTAGTAAACTGTCCTTTAAGAGCAGTTTAGGGTAAAATAAGTGTACACAATTTGTAATGCTGTTATATATATATATATATATTTTTTTTTTTTTTTTCGGTTGTGGGGCTTGAACTCTGGGCCTGGGCGCTGTCCCCCTCAGCTCTGCAGCTCAAGGCGAGCACTCTGCCACTTGAGCTACAGCGCCACTTCCGGTTTTCTGGTGGTTTTATTGGAGATAGGAGTCTCACGGTCTCTCCTGCCCGGGCTGGCTTTGAACCGCAATCCTCAGATCTCAGCCTCCTGAGTAGCTAGGATTACAGGCGTGAGCCACCAGCACCCGGCTGCTGTTATATTTTTTTTACTGCCTGTTATTTTTTTTTTTATGTGAGTGAGCCTTAAAGAATAAGATAAATCAAACATGGCATTCCCTTAATTTGAGGAGTGTCAAAGCAAATCACTGTCATTGTCACCTTTACCTACAAAGTGTTTCCTTCTTGGGCTGTGAAAATTTGCAGGATTTAGCCCAGCATGGGTGGCTGATACCAGTAATCCTAGCTAATCAGAAGGCTGAGATCTGAAGATCTCAGTTTGAAGCCAGCACCAGCAGGAAAATCCATGAGACTCTTTATCTCCAATAAACTGCTCAGAGACACTGTGATTTAAGTGGCAAAGTGATAGCCTTGAGCACAAAGAGGCTTAGGGACAGTGCCCCGGCTCTGAGTATAAGCCCCAGGACCGGACAAAAAAAATAATTTGCATGAGTTAATATCTCATTTGGATGACTGTCTTTTCTGAAGAAAGCTCACTTTTTTTTTTTTTGTCTCCGTCACGGGGCAAGGGGCTTGAACTCTGGGTCTAGGTGTTGCCCTCAGCTCAAGGCCAGTGCTCTACCACTTGAGCCACAGTGCCACTTCAGTTTTTCTGGTGGTTTATTGGAGGTAAGAGTCTCATGGACTTTCCTGCCAGGGCTGGCTTTGAACCTCAATCCTCAGATCTCAGCCTCCTGAGTAGCTAGGATTACAGGTGTGAGCCAGTGCCCGGCTAGGCTGACCTTTTTACTGGTGAAGATACCAGTAGATATGTGTTCTGTACAGTGAACTATAGGGACCACTTCAAATTTTACTTTTAGAGAAATGTTCTCCAGGCTCTCTGGCTTAGTCATTCTCCTGGCTTGGTCTGAAGCTCCTCTTGAGTTAACTCAGGCTGTAGATGGTAACTAAAGATGAAGGACAGAACAGAACACTTGCCCTAGGTGTCTTTTTTTTTTAATATTCAAGCATTTTTTATTTACATTTTTTAAATTATATCTTTAAGTTGTACAAAGAAGTTCGCATCCTACAAAACAGTATGAGTACAAGGTGTCTGACAACATTGTCTCCCATCACTCCTAACCCATCCCTTTTCTCACTTTTTTTTTAAATTGAGATTAGGTGATTACATAAATTTCACATATTTCATAATATTGTGGAATAGTGAGACTTAAAATCACAAACACATTTTAACCTTCACAAGGCAAATTGTCATTATCATGGTCTATACCTAGGTGGGTTTTAAAGTGGAAATTTCCCTTGGGCCGGGCGCTGGTGGCTCACGCCTGTAATCCTAGCTACTCAGAAGGCTGAGATCTGAGGATCACGGTTCAAAGCCAGCCTGGGCAGGAGAGACGTTAGACTCCTATCTCCAATAAACCACCAGAAAACCGGAAGTGGCGCTGTAGCTCAAGTGGTAGAGTGCTCGCCTTGAGCTGAAGAGCTGAGGGACAGCACCCAGGCCCAGAGTTCAAGCCCCACGACCGACAAAAAGAAATTTCCCTTGGTCACTGAGCATAGCCCTGTTGGGTATGCAAAGATAAGTAATTGAGTCGTGACTGTTTACGCGGTGAGGGTAGACAGCCTCAGAAAGAAGTATTGTACAGGGGAGATGGTGTTGCATTGTTGCAGAGTCAAGAGGCTTCTGTGAGTTCAGAGAGGAGACTGACAGTTCCACCTCCGAAAAGGAGTCTGAAAACATCACTCTTTAGTACCAGCAGAAATCTAAGCAGGTGAAAGTGAAGAGAGTAGTGGTAGAGCTGACTTTGTAGGCCCAGGAAGTTGGTAGCAAGATGAGGGCACACAACTATTGCCCTGGGTCAGCAGATGGGGGCTCAGGCCTTGGGTAAAAACTATCTAGAACCTCTGTAACCCATTCATTCATCTATTCATTTATCAGTCATTGAGTACATAAAGGCAATTTGAGGTACTTATAAAAGCTCTACTGTCATGGACTTCATATTCTAGAAACGAGTGAGAGGCCGAAGAATTCAGTAAATAAACAAGAGAATGGTAAAGGGGAGTGGGGGGAGAGACGGGCTGTGATGGGAGTGCAGTTTTGGATAGTGTGGCCACATGTATCATCCTTGCTGACATAATGTCAGCTGAGTAGACTTGAGGGTGGTGAGCTGTTGAGGATGCAGGTGTAGGTGGGAAAGACGGAGCTTGGCAGTGGTATGATATCTGGTAGATTCAAGGAACAAGGAGGCCACTGTAGCTCAGACTGACATTTCGGGGCAGAACACTAGTAGACTTCTTGGTAGATAGAAAGATTGCTGTGCCTGATGAATCAGAGTTTGAAAGTTAGAGCTCCTTGGAAATGTGATTTGATGGGTGGAACTTTCTCCTGAGTGTAGTTACAAGATTCCAGACGTGACACCACCTGAAATAGGAGGGAATGGGAGCAGAGATGGCAGACGTGAATGTTCTACTTAGAATCCTTAACATCCTTGGAAATTTTTTTTTGGGGGGGGTCTGGTCTTGGGGCCTGAACTCTGGGCCTGGGTGCTGTCCCTCAGCTCTTCAGCTCAAGGCTAACGTGCTACCACGATAGTACCACTTCCTGCTTTTTTTCTGCTTATGTGGTGCTGAGGAATCGAACCTAGGGCCTCATGCATGCAAGGCAAGTGCTGTACCACTGAGCCACCTTCCCAGCCCCCTTGGAAATCTTTGTAAATCCTTGATCACCTTTTTGTTGTGCCCAAGCTGCATTTTTAGTTAGGGGGAAAAAAGGTAGTCTATTCTTAAAAGTGAAACCTATGGTAATGTTTGTCTATTTGGGGGTGGCACTGGGATCTGAACTGGAACTTGCTAGGTTGGTGCTTTACCACTTGAGCTATACCTCCAGTCCTGGTTCTTGGTTTTTTTGACAGGGTCTCACTATGTAGCTCAGGCTGGCCTTGAACTCATTTTGGTGTGATGACTAGAAATTTTTCTGGGGGCTGAGGGAAGAAAGCACATTGTGTTCAGAATAGAATGTACAAAGATGAGAAGATGTGAAGGAAAATTCGGTTGTCAGGGCAAAGAATCCATGTGGCAGGAACCTGGAACATTTGAAAAAATTTGAGAGAAGATGACCTGAGGGGCTGGGAGGTTGGCTCAGTGAGAGTGCTTGCCTTGCATGCATGAGGCCCTGGGTTCAATTCCTCAGCACCACATAAATAGAAAAGGCCGGAAGAGGTGCTATGGCTCAAGAGGTAGAGCACTAGCCTTAAGCTGAAGAGCTGAGGGACAGCACCCAGGCCCCTCAACAGACCAAAAAAAGAAAAAAGATGACCAGTCAGGAGGATCTAGAGCAAAACTGTCCAAAAGAAATAGAAGCTTCATATGTGTAGTAATTTTATATATTCTTATGGTCACAATGTAAAAAGTAACAAGTAATGATAGTCTTAGTAATACGTATTTAACCCAATATATCCAGATATTATTATTTCTTTGTATAGTCAATATTTTTTAAATTACTAATGAGATACTTTTTTTTTAGTTGTACTGAGATTTGAATTCAGGGCTTCCTGCTTGCAAGGCAAGCACTGTACTACTTTAGCTATCTATGCCCCTAGCCTTTTTCTGTCTAGTAGGTTATTTTTCAGAGTGCTTTTTTCCTAGGCTGGCCTTGGACTGTGATCCTCCTTCTTCGGCCACCCATGTAGCTGCCATCCCTATTAAACCTAGCTTGCATGTGGAGATGAGAATTTCATCTTCATTTTTTTGATCAGGGCTGGCCTTAAGCCATAATCTTCCCCAGTATCTGCCTCCTGAGATGCTGAGGTTATAAGTATATGCCACCACTCCTGGACTTTTTTTTTCTACTTTCTTTGAAATCCAGTGTGTATTTTACACATATCACACACAAGCTTGATAGTGGGACCAGCCTGGTCCCAACCTAGTGTTCATCAGAGGAGCTTGGATTTTTTTTCTCCTACAATGGGATGCTGTTGGTTTTGGGGAATGGATACTTTGTGATAGAGCTATATAGTGGAGTACTGCAACAGTTTAGAGCAATACAGGGAAATGCTACCACTGTAGAAAGATCTCTAAAATAGGCAAATGTAAAAAACAGATTGTAAGTGGGCACTAGTGGCTTAATCATATGGAGATTAGAATCTCAATTTGAGAACAGCCCCAGTAAAAAAAAGAAAAAAACTTTGAGATTCCTCCTAAGCAGCTATGAAAAATCTAACATAGTCAGATTGTGCCCAGCCCTGATTTTATTTTTGAGATAGAATCCTACGTGCTATCCCAAAGGGGTAGCAAATGTGTGAACACTTGCAAGGTTGATCCCTGGCTGAGCAGGAATGTGATCCCGCAGGAATCAGTGACATTCAAAGATGTGGCTGTGGACTTCACCCAGGAAGAATGGTACCACGTGGACCCTGCACAGAGAAGCTTGTACAGGGATGTGATGCTGGAGAACTACAGCCACCTGGTTTCTCTGGGTAAGGACCCCTTCCCTCAGTGCTTTGTCTGGTGATGGCTCTTTTCCTACTCAGTTGCCAGAGTTAATGGTGCTCAAAGCCTAGGTAATGAGAATGTCTAGGGGGTCAGAGTTTGTTCATGACTTTGGGACCCAGCTTTCTGGGGATTTTGAGGCTGCTCTTTTGGTGAAAGGTCTTTATTTGTAGAACTGGCAATAGGCAGTTCAATTTCATGATGCTCTAAATTGAACTTCTCTTTCCCTTCAGAATTCCTAATACTGACTTTAGGAGGGTTCTTTCATCTGTTTGTTCAAATATCTAAAATCTTGTATCTTTACTCATGAGCAGGATATCAAGTTTCCAAACCAGAGGTGATTTTCAAATTGGAGCAAGGAGAAGAGCCATGGATATCGGAGAGAGAAATCCAAAGACCTTTCTGTCCAGGTAAATAAGCGAGAATCCTCCTGAGGGAACGGGGCAGGCAAGAGTATAATCTATGACCTCTGGGCTCTGTTGCTTTGGGCCTGTAGTGAGGCAGCACACCATGGCAGGATGGCATGGGATGTGATGCTGGAGAACCACAGCCAGCTGGTTTCTCCGGGTAAGGACCGCTTCCCTCAGTGCTTTGTCTCTATCAATATGGAACGTTTCTATTACTGCACATACACGCGCACGTGTGCTAGGCCTGGAGCTTGACCTCAGAGCCTGGGCACTGTCTCTGAGCTTCTTTTGCTCAAGACTAACTCACTACCACTTGGGCTATAGCTCCACTTCTGCCTTTTTCTGTTTCTGTGGTACTGAGGAATTGAACCCAGGGCTTCATGCATGCTAGGCAAGCACTCTACCACTAAGCCACATTCCCAGCCCTGTTACTAATTTTTTTGTCTGAAATTTTGGCGTGAACTTGGTATCTGATGCTTCCGTTCATTGGCTAGTGCTTTTACCACCTGAGCCATGCCTCTAAGTCCTGAACTTAGAAATTCTCTGCTGGGTGCTAGTGGTGCACTCTTATAATCCTAGCTACTCAGGAGGCTGAGATCTGAGGACTGTGGTTCAAAGCCCACCAGGTAGGAAGGTTCATGAAACTCTTATTTCCAATTAACCACCAGAAAACTAGAACTGGTACTGTGGCTCAAAGTGGTAGAATGTCCAGGCCCTGAATTCAAACCCCATGACCAACAACAAAAAAAGAAATAAATTTTATGGTTTTAATATTCATTAAATAGGATGAAATAAAACCATCTTGGTAAAGAGAGACAAACAACACAAAGCTTACATAGTCAGCCCCAGCTGTTAGGGCAAAGATGATTGGTCTCCTGAAATACTACTATTTCTCAGTTTGCAAAGAATAGCCTGTGATTCTTTGACAAGTATATGAAAGAATCTTTTCAATTAGATCATTGAATATAGGTTTTCTCTTCAGTGTTGGAAGACCTGGAGCTTCATAGGTCACAGAAGAAATTATGAAGTGGATTGTATTAAGAAGTAGATTTTTGGGCCGGGCGCTGGTGGCTCATGCCTGTAATCCTAGCTACTCAGGAATCTGAGATCTCAGGATCCCAGTTCAGAGTCAGCTCAGGCAGGAAAATCCATGAGACTCTTATCTCCAATAAACCACCAGAAAACCAGAAGTGGCACTGTGGCTCAAGTGTTAAAGTGCTTACCTTGAGCTGAAGAGCTCAGGGATGGTGCCCAGGCACAGAGCAAGCCCCATGACCGACCAAAAACAAAAAAGTACATTTTTGGTGCTCCATAAAATGGACAGGAGGCGAGGAGAGTAAGTAGATGCACCATGGTCTGCTATTTCTCTTGCCCGCTCCTTTGATTCCTAACAATCCCACCTGCAGAGGCTTTCCCTGTTCTCAGCACTTAGCACTCAGTCCAGATGTACATCTTCATCAGCACCTCTCTTCATTGTTCTCTTCTGCACTTTAAATATTCTTTTTTCTTTTTTTTTTTGGCCCGGTCGTGGGCCTGAACTCTGTGCCTGGGCGCTGTCCCTCAGCTCTTCAGCTCAAGGCTAGCACTCTACCACTTGAGACACAGTGCCACTTCCGGCTTTTTTCTTTTTGCTTATGTGGTGCTGAGGAATCAAACCGAGGGCCTCATGCATGCAAGGCAAGCACTTTACCACTGAGCCACCTTCCCAGCCCTCTTCTGCACTTTAAATATTCTGCACTGGCTATAGGAATACATATTTCAAGACATTCTCATAATTTATGTCTCTTTCGTTTCTTCATTCCTTTGTACTGTAGCAGTTTGTTTTAACAGGAAGGAATATGCACTTTGCATTTCTTTCAGACCAGAAGACCAGGCCTGAAGCCAAATCCTCTAATCTGCTGCAGAGCACATCCGAAGTTTCCCGCCACCAGGATGAACGCTCACATGCTGCATTACAAGATGGCTGGGATGTTAGTAGCCAGTTAGAAAGGCACCAAGAAAACTGGAAGGGACATCTGGGGTCCAAGGCATCTAGCCAGAAGAGTATCACCACTCCAGAGGGAAGTTTTGAGCCAAACAAATCTGGTGAAAACTCTAGATTGAACACTAACGTGGTTCCACATCTGAACATTCCTTCGAAAATAAGGCCCAGTGAATGTGAAACCCTTGGAAGCAGTTTGGGACATAATGTAGACCTACTTAATCAGAATAATGCCCTTGCAAAAAAGAAACCCTACAAATGTAATAAGTGTAGAAAAGCATTTATTCACAGGTCATCACTTAATAAACACGAGAAAACTCATAAAGGAGATACTCTCCCTAATGGTACTGATCCAGGAGTGTATCCAGGAAAGAAACACCATGAGTGTACTGACTGTGGGAAAACCTTTCTCTGGAAAACTCAGCTTACTGAACATCAGAGAATTCACACCGGGGAGAAACCTTTTGAGTGCAATGTGTGTGGAAAGGCCTTCAGGCACAGCTCATCCCTGGGTCAGCACGAAAACGCTCATACTGGAGAGAAGCCTTATCAATGTAGTCTGTGTGGGAAAGCCTTCCAGCGCAGCTCCTCCCTCGTTCAGCACCAGAGAATCCACACAGGAGAGAAACCCTACCGCTGTAACCTGTGTGGGAGATCCTTTCGGCATGGCACATCCCTTACTCAACACGAAGTCACGCACAGCGGAGAGAAACCCTTCCAGTGTAAGGAATGTGGGAAAGCATTTAGCCGGTGTTCTTCCCTTGTGCAACATGAGAGGACTCATACAGGAGAGAAACCTTTTGAATGTAGCATATGTGGGAGGGCTTTTGGTCAGAGTCCATCCCTTTATAAACACATGAGGATTCATAAGAGAGGCAAACCTTACCAAAGCAGTAACTTCAGTGTAGACTTCAAGCACAGTTCATCTCAAGATGAAAACACGCTGACTGAAGTGAAAACCTACCATTGTGATGACTGTGGGGAGGACTTCAGTCACATTACAGACTTTACCAATCATCAGAAGATCCATGCTGGAGAGAACCCCTATGACTGTGAGCAGGCCTTTAGTCAGCAATCGATTTCTCATCCTGGAGAGAAGCCCTATCACTGTAATGTGTGCGGGAAAGCTTTCAAAAGGAGTACAAGTTTCATCGAGCATCACAGAATCCATACTGGAGAGAAGCCCTACGAATGTAATGAGTGTGGAGAAGCCTTCAGTCGCCGCTCATCTCTCACGCAACATGAGAGAACCCACACTGGAGAGAAACCCTATGAATGTATTGACTGTGGGAAAGCCTTCAGTCAAAGTTCATCTCTTATTCAGCACGAGAGGACTCACACTGGAGAGAAACCCTATGAATGTAACGAATGTGGCCGCGCCTTCCGAAAGAAAACCAACCTGCATGACCACCAGCGAATTCATACCGGAGAAAAACCGTATGCTTGTAAAGAATGTGGGAAAAATTTTAGTCGAAGCTCAGCTCTTACGAAACATCAGAGAATTCATGCACGGAATAAACTTTAGGAAGCCTAAAATTAAGGTTTGTGTAGAAAGCTTTAGCTAAACTTTTGTTCTAATTCAGTATCAGCGGATTCTTTTTGGAGAGAATGTTTGAAAATGCCATGATGTATGTGTTTGTATGTTGTGTGTGAGCAAAACTATGCCACTATGGTTTTTTTTTTTTTTAATAAAAGCCACATTCTCCTATCTGAATTGTAGGCTTTTGTAAAAACCAAACAATACATATTAAGCCTTTGGAAAGGATATGCCTATATATCAGAGTTTATAAGATGCTTGAATGTGAATATGCAGGAGATCACCAATTTTGACAGCTTGACATGTAACTCCTATTGTTTACAGCCTTTAAAAATAAATAAAAGTACAATAATGACCAAAACTCATTGTCTGACAACTGTATTCAACCATAACTCTGTGTGTGTGTGTGTGTGTGTGTGTGTGTGTGTGTGTGTGTCAGTTGTTGGGCCTGGGCGCTGTCCCTCAGCTCTTCAGTTCAAGGCTCTACTACTTGATCCACAGTGCCACTTCCTGTTTAAAAATAAGTAAGCATTTAACACCCATAGATGGGACTGTTTCAAATGACTGAAAGCATGCAAGAAAGCCTAAGTGTCATACAAAAATGTATGCAAACTCATCACAGACTTCTTTCAGTCACCTTAATTGGTAGCTTAAAACCCAAAATGTTCACAGAAACTATATAGATGAAGTACCAGTGACTTTTTCCTTTTTCTCAGTTATAATTTTATTTCCAGCTAACATGTCAGCTTTACAGAGCTACTAAGTCAGTGTTATGCTTGTCATGGCGTTCCCTTGAAAAAGTATTACCTCAAACTTCCTGTATCAGTCAATGGGAAAGTGACAAAAAGCTAAGAGAAATTCTTTCCTAAATAAATTTTACTATCAAGAAGTAAAATTGTAGCTGGGCACTGATGGTTCATGCCTGTAATCCTAGCTACTCAGGAGGCTGAGATCTGAGGATCATGGTTCAAAGCCAGCCCAGGCAGGAAAGTCCATGAGACTTACTCCAATTAACCACCAAAAAACCGGAAGTGGCACTGTGGCTGAAAGTGGTAAAGCACTTACCTTGAGCTGAAGGTCACAGGGACAGAGCCCAGGCCCAGAGATCAAGTCCCACAACTAAAAAAAAAAAAAAAGTAAAATTGCCCATTGCTAGAAATTGTCTTTTTTTTCCGTTGTTCTTTTTGTCAGTTGTGAGGCTTGAACTCTGAGCCTGGGCACTGTCCTGAGCTCTTGAGCTCAAGGCGACAGCTCTACCACTTTGAGCCATAGCACCACTTGCAGCTTTCTGGTGGTTAATTGGAGATAAGAGAGTCTCAAGGATTTTCCTGCCTATGCTGACATTCAACCATGATCCTCAGATCTCAGCCTCCTGAGTAGCTAGGATTACAGGCGTGAGCCACTGGTGCCCAGCTGGAAATTGTCTTTGACTCAGACTAGAAAATGAGTGTCTGAGCCGGGCACTGGTGGCTCACACCTGTAATCCTAGCTACTGAGGAGGCTGAGATCTGAGGATCACAGTTCAAAGCCAGCCCGAGCAGGAAAGTTCATGAGACTCATCTCCAATAAACCACTAGAAAACAGGAAGTGGTGCTATGGCTCAAGTGGTAGAGTACTCGCCTTGAGCTGAAGAGCACAAGGACAGCACCCAAGCCCAGAGTTCAAGCCCCACGACTGACCAAAAAAAAAAAAAAAGGAAAAGAAAATGAGTGTCTGTGTGAAAAGGAAATATTTTTACTATTTAAGAAATCAACCCATTTTAATTTCTTGGTGCTTTTCCATCAGTACGGCATGGGCTCAGCTTCCGAGGCTTGCTCTTTAATGTCTCCTAGTACCTTCTTTGAGCCATACTTTAAAATAATTTCTAGAACCTTTCTTGGCTCATGAACACCTGTAGTGCAGAGAAATTTGGGGACAACTATGGGGGCAAAGCTACCCCCCTTTTCCAGCCCTAATGATTTTTTTTGTTGTTGGGGGCTTGAACTCCGGGCCTGGGCACTGTCCCTCAGCTTTTTTTTTTTTTTTTAGAATTCAAAAGTTCCATCGATGATTATATTTATTTAAATATTCTTAAATTGTATGTTTCAGATTTAATTTACTTCATAGATTCTCTGAGCACAACTGCATTCACAGGTTCCAACTTCGTGATTACTTGTTTGCCCATTCTTCTCTCTCTTTTTTTTCCCGAATAACCTCCTTCAGGTATGGTTCAAGGTAGAATTTATCCCAGTTTGTTGAATCCTGCAGCACTGTAATACCATTTTCGAACACCATCCAGCCACCATCCAGAGGCTGCCCGCCATGGTGACCCCTGTCCCTCAGCTCTTAAGCGCAATATGAGTCACAGCACCACTTCCAGTTTTCTGGTGGTTAATGGGAGATTTAAAAGTCTTACAGAAGCCGGGCGCTGGTGGCTCACGCCTGTAATCCTAGCTACTCAGGAGGCTGAGATCTGAGGACCACGGTTCAAAGCCAGCCCGGGCAGGAGAGACTGTGAGACTCCTATCTCCAATAAACCACCAGAAAACCGGAAGTGGCACTGTAGCTCAAGTGGTAGAGCGCTTGCCTTGAGCTGAAGAGCTGAGGGACAGCGCCCAGGCTCAGAGTTCAAGCCCCACGACTGACCAAAAAAAAAAAAAAAGTCTCACAGATTTTCTTGCCCAAACTGGCTTTGAACCGTGATCCTCAGGTCTCAGCCTTCTGAGTAGCTAGGGTTACAGGTGGGAGCCACCAGCACCCAACTTCCCTAAAGATTCTTAAGGAGGTAATGAGGGATTAGGATGAACATTTTCTTGGGTGCCATACAGCAGGATCTGTTGTCCTCTCATCTGGATAGTCTGAGGTAGGTCAGAAGCACTTTTTATCATTTCTTTTTTTGGGGGGGGCTCCCGTCATGGGCCTGAACTCTGGGCCTGGGCGCTGTCCCTCATCTCTTCAGCTCAAGGCTACCTCTGGCATGCAAGGCAAGCACTCTACCACTGAGCCACCTTCCCAGCCCCATGAGTACATTTCTTATAAGGCATTGTAGCCTCCTTTGTTTCCCCTTCCCATCCTCCCCCCGCCCCCCCATTTATCATTTTTTTTATCATTTCTTTTGCAGGGATAATGCCACTCTGTTCTCTGATACATAATTGGACAATGGATAATTCCATTCAGATCCTCCTCTAGTGAATAGCTCGAAGGCCTGTCTGGGGCTTGCTTTTGATCTTTGGGGAATCCCTTTAGTGGACTTGGAAGGAATGGCATGAAATATAATCAATTGAATGCTACTCTGCTGTTATTGATATTTATAAAAATCTTCGTCCCCAAAGAGACCAGTGATTTGTGTGTGAAGCCTGGTCCAGGTCCAGCTACCACAGTAGATCTCACTTCATCAGCAGGGAGGGAGCCTAGGCTGATCAAGAAGAGGGCATTCCTAGTATCAGCCCTCTCCAGCTGTACACTTATGAATAACAGCATTTTAGGACTCTGTGGAATGCATTTTTGTTAAATAGCATCATTGTAGTCTTTGAATAAATAGCCTGAGGTGAATGGGAATCAATTCATCTTTTTCAGTTTTCAAAACTTGGCTAAGATTTAAGGATGACACATCAAGAAGGAAAGATTAAGCCGGGCGCTGGTGGCTCACGCCTGTAATCCTAGCTACTCAGGAGGCTGAGATCTGAGGATCGCGGTTCAAAGCCAGCCCGGGCAGGAGAGACCGTGAGACGCCTATCTCCAATAAACTACCAGAAAACCGGAAGTGGCGCTGTAGCTCAAGTGGTAGAGCGCTCGCCTTAAGCTGAAGAGCTGAGGGACAGTGCCCAGGCCCAGAATTCAGGCCCCACGACCGACAAAAAAAAAAAAAAAAAAGAAAGATTAGCTGCTAAATGTATTCATAGCCAGGTAAGTTTTTAATAGCTACCATTTATTTGCATTTACTGTGTGAAAGATGGTGTGTTATTTCACTTAATCCTAGAGTTCCTGTTTAGAAATGCTATGGTGGCTTTTCTACTGAGCCTTTTTCCTCTTCCTGTTTTAACAGACCTGTTCTGACCAGAGAAACACAAGTCAGGAGGTTAGAAGCATGGCTCCGTGGTAGAGTGCTAGCCAATGATCAAAAGCAGCAGGTATTGAGTTCTACTCCTGGTCTTGGACAAACAAAAAACATGTCAGGCTGTCACCAGAGATACCTGGATGAACTAGAAACTTTTTTTAGCTTGCTAGGGTGGAAAGGTGAAGGCCTAGAGGCTGATTTTTTGTGGGGCTTGAACTCTGGGCCTGGGCTCTGTCCCTGAGCTCTTCAACTCAAGGCTAATACAACCACTTGAGCCTCAGTGCCACTACTGGGTTTCTGGTGCTTAACTGGAAATAAGAGTCTTAAGGACTTTGTTTGCCTAGGCTGGCTTTGAACTACAATCCTCAGATCTCAGCCTCCTGAGTAGCTAGGATTATAGGTGTGAACCACCAGTGCTGGCCTAGAGTCTGATTTCTTACCAGATGACGTGAGGTCTCTTATAGGAGAGGACGAGGCTGACACGCAAGTGTTCTCATTTCCAGGCCCTGAAATCTTTGCCCCTGGCTGACTTTCTCAAGTTCCCTAGGTCTCATTGAGCTCTCCATTTTCCATCTAACATTTGCATTGTAATAGGAAAATCGGTCTTGTTTCATACCTATTAAGCTGGCCAGGAAAGCTCCCACGCTTCCCACACAGCTGGTGCAGCAGGCTCACACCATTTGCTCAGGCGCTGGTTGAAAAGGAATCTCACATGTATGCCCCAGATGTCCTTGAACCCCTAACACAGTCTCAGCCTCTCAAGGAGAAGTTTCTAGAAAGCCTTTCATAAATTTACCAAGACAGCATTAGCTTTTTTTTTTTTAGCCAATTATGTTTCATTGTATATTCTACCACAATCCTATAATATGCTTTTTTCTCCTAGTTTTATCTTGTCCATTTCCATTTCAGAACAGTTTTTAAAGACAAAACTTTATTTACTATGTAAAAACCTTCTTATCCAGAAAATGTCTTTGTAACTTTCTTTCTTTTTTTTTTTTTTCTTTTTGTCAGTTGTGGGGCTTGAACTCTGGGCCTGGGCGCTGTCCCTGAGCTCTTCAGCTCAAGGTGAGCGCTCTACCACTTGAGCCACAGTACCACTTCCTTTGCAACTTTCTTACACCTCTTCATGCTCTATCTTATCCCATTAATTGTATCTCAGGAAAAATCCTAATCCTTTGGTGACATACTTTTAGTGTTATATTTAAAATCCTTTTTTAAAATCCAAAAATGCTTTTATTTATTTTTGATGCTAGTCCTAGGGCTTGAACTCAAGGCCTGGGCACTTTCTCTGGGCTCTTTTGCCCAAGGCTAGTGATCTA